GGGTTACGAGCCAGCTTCAGATACCCCACCGCTAGTTGGCGCAGCGAACGTCACAGTGAATGCCACAACATCAGCCCAGCATCACGTGTCTCACTCGTTCACTTTCTGATTTAACATACGAGTAATTTGAGTTACGAGCTCGGTCACGGAACGAATTAAACTCGTAAGTCAAGGCCCCACTGTACTTGCTTAATCTTATCTAAGAATCTCCAGTAAAGACCACCCTGGTTAGGTAGAGGTAGACATACTTTTCCTGTAAAAGTAAATACTTTAGGTTTTGCAGGCCATCCAGTCTCCATTGCAGCTACTCTACTCGGCTCTGTAGTCAGAAAGCATCCATGACAATAGGCAAACACATGGTATGTTTTTGTTGCAATAAAACTTTATTTACAACAAGAGGACTGGATTTGGCCCGTTGGCACTGGGCTGGGCCATCCTGACCCCTCCTCACAATGGTTACGGCTGTTTAGACAGAGTAGATCCCACGGGACTGGGTGGTCCTGAGGCCCCATCCGCTGTGAAGCGCCCCCTGGAGGGGGAGATGGGGACCCAGCGCCAGCCAGGTGCCCGGTGCTTGCTCTCACAAGCAAAGATGGGCTCACTGCTCTCAGTCCGCTCCTGCTGGCTTCCGCGTTGGGGCGTTATTCTGTTGTGTTGTCCTGTCCCGTTTTGTGCCTAAGCACGCGCACAGGTCAGTGTCCGCCGAGGCAGGAATCACAGCGAGCGTTTTCCAGTGGCTACTGACTCCGTGTCGGTCCCCACAGACTGTAAGCGTCACCAGGGCAGGGTCCCTGTCTGCTTTGTCAACTGTCATGTCCCCGGAACCTGGCCCAGCACATGGCACGTAGTGGGCTCCTACCAGGCGTGTGCTGAGTGAGTGGATGGATTAGCACTGAATGAGGACGAGTCAGGGCAATGAGGGAGCGCTGAGGTCACCCAGAGCTTTCCCGAGGGGCACCCAGCGCTGCCTGTGCTGCTCTACGGCCGGTGAGCTCGGGCCTCTGGGCAGCAGTGAGTCCTGGGGGGAACAGGTGGCAGATGGGGGGAGGGTCCCCGGGCGAGGCACTGAGGCAGGGCGCCTGCAGCCACCAGGAGAGCAGTGCTGGGTCCTGGCCTTGAGGAGCCCACAGAGGGCTGCGGGGCCGTGAACAAGGGGAGGCGTGTCCTGCAGTCGCCACCAGACGCGGCATTAATTCCACCTGGCAGGCCTGCCGGTCTCGCCTCTGCCCGGCCTCCACCCACCTCTCTCCCTGGCATCGGGCACAGCCGTGGCTGCCCTGCCCTAGAGACTGCAACCCAATTCATAAATTCCCTTCCTAATTGGGCACAGGGAGGAGGAGACGGTTGTTAATAATGCAGGGGCTGTTTCATGCCCCGCCAGGAGCCGGGCTGAGACAGAGTCCTGGTGACGAGCAGCCACCCGGCCACCGCGCTGGGCTCCGTGCCCAGGACGCCGGGCAGAAGTACATAAAGCAGAGGAGTGAGTGTCCCGGGAGCTCGGGCCCCGGGCTGGAGTCACAGATGCGAGGACCCGGAGCCGCTTCAGGAGGGAGGCCCCGGGCACCAGCCGGGGGAGCAGAGAAGCTCGGGGCGCCAGCTGCCTGTGCCCCCCTTCCTTCCCCGCTCGCCCAGGCCAACCCAGCGGACCTTCCCATGGGCTGCTGGGCCCTAGTGTCACCTCCTTCTCCCCCAGGCTTCCCGGTGCTCGGGGTGATGGGTGCTCGTGGTGACCAGTGTGCAGGGTGACCGGTGCTCATGGTGACCAGTGTGCAGGGTGACCAGTGCTCGGGGTGACTGGTATGCAGGGTGACCAGTGTGCAGAGTGACCGGTGCTCGGGTGACCAGTGTGCAGGGTGACCAGTGCTCATGGTGACCAGTGTGCAGGGTGACCAGTGCTCGGGGTGACTGGTATGCAGGGTGACGGGTGCTCAGGTGACCGGTGCTCAGGGTGACGGGTGCTCAGGTGACCGGTGCTCAGGGTGATGGATGCTCAGGGTGACCAGTGTGCAGGGTGACCGGTGCTCGGGGTGATGGGTGCACTGTGAGGGCTGAGGCTGTCTGCTGCGGGAGCTCCCTGGCCGGCCTGTTCCATCCCGCACCAGCCCATGGAGGAGGCTCTGATGCTTTCCCCACTCACTGTGGGGGGAACTGAGATGAAATCTGAAAGATGAGATGGTTTTCGAGGGTCAGAATCTGGAATTTAGCTGTAGGTCCCGATTCAAAGCCAGTGTGGATAGCCGCTGTGCTAAGCGGGGGAGGTGCCCCAGGAGGAGGGGCGGGGACAGTGATAACTGGGGGACCAGGGCAGGCCTGGCATTGGGAAAGGGGTGGGCGGAGAGAAAGGGCAGGGGGAGAGGGGTCAGAGAGCGCAGCCACGGGACTTGGCCTCTGGTGGCCTCGCTGGAGCAGGGCATGCCCACCCGCTGGTGCCTGGGCCTGAGAGGGAGGTGGGGCAGGGAGGACCGCAGCTCACTGACGGATGCTTTCTGAACAGGTGGGTGCGTGAGGGATGCTGCACACCCGCCGGGGATAGTGGCTGAGGAGAGGCCGAGGGCAGGGGGATGTTTGGGGCCAATGGGACTGCAGTGGGGGTGGGGCCAGGGGCCCTGGGTGACTCTCCCTGTGAAGCCAACAGGGTGTCCCGCTGGCCGGCCTTGTGTCCGGCCCTCTGGATCCCCAGGACAGTGGGTGCTGGGGGCGCACTTAGGGCTGCCTGCTGGCAGAGCCCCTTGCGGAGACGGGCCAAGGCCCGTGCGCTTTCACAGGCAACAGTTTCCATCTGCCTGGGACGGAGGCTCAGCCACGGCAGCCCCGCTGGCCAGCAGGAAGTGGCCCCTGCGCCAGGTTTGGAGGCAGTGCGCCACTTCCAGGGGGACCATGGGCAAGAGAAGGTGGCCCCCAAAGCAGGCCAAGCACACCCTGCCTCCCCCCCACTGAAGGCCAGGGACCCCCACTTACACTGCAGTGTTCAACCTGCTTCCCTCCTGCAGGGTGGAGAGGGGGTGCTCCTGGCTTTTGGAAAAGGCAGGCACCTCCCCCCACACCCCACACCCCACACCCCACACCCCACACCCCAGAGCGCTGCCCCCTGTCTTTCTGTTCAGTGCGGGCAGGGGATCGTGCCTTCAGCGGGCACTCTGGCCTGGGCGGGAATCAGGAAGACTTATGCAGGAGGGGGTCTCTGTGCTGTACCCAGATTCCCACGGGCAGAGAAGGGGTGGAGCCCCGCCCCCGAGCTGAGATGGGGACGCTCAGTTTTCCCCTGGTCAGTTCCAAAGGGGACTTCTTCCTCCCTGGAAGGGGCCTCGGTCCCCCAAGTGCCATGTCTGCTCCTGTGCTTGTGGCTTTAAAGCCCAGCCCACTGCCCTAGCCAGTTTGGCTCAGTGGATAGACCGTCGGCCTGCGGACTCAAGGGTCCCAGGTTCGATTCCGGTCAAGGGCATGTACCTTGGTTGCAGGCACATCCCCAGTAGGGGGTGTGCAGGAGGCAGCTGATCGATGTTTCTCTCTCATCAATGTTTCTAACTCTCTATCCCTCTCCCTTCCTCTCTGTAAAAAATCAATAAAAAATATATATGTATATTAAAGCCCAGCCCACACCCTGGCACCTCGGGGAGCCCCACCAGGAGCCGGCCCACGGGGGAGGGAGAGGCCCTGGCACAGGCCTCCTCCAGGACGCCCGGTGCCCGTGAATGGACAGCAGGGCCTCAGTGGGCCCTTGTGCTGGGAGACAATGGGCGCTGTGTGGGGGTGGGGCGAGAGGGAGGAGGCTGTGGGCCCTGCCCCCAACGCCGCCGCCTCCTCAGTGGACTCGGGCTGGGGACACCGAGGCAGTCACGGGGGCACTTGGCCCCTGGAGGAACCTCCGAGAACCCTTGTCCTTGTGGTGCCTGGAGGCAGTACCGGGAGCAGGGCTGAGAGACGCGGGGCCCAGGGTCCCCCTTCTCTGAGCCCCAGAGTCCCCTTTGTCCACGGGGCCTGGGAAACAGCCTCTGCCACCAAGTGCGTTAGCAAAGCTCCGGGGCCGCAGGTGTCCCAGGGGAGTGGGAGGCAGGACCCGCAGACCAGCTGGGAAATGCTCCTCACACATCAGCACCGCGTGTGCTGGGGCCCGAGTGTGCGAGTGGCCGAGGGGAGGACAGGCTCCCCTTGAGGACCTCGTGGATTGAGTAGTGACCTGGGGGCCCTGCAGCCCCCAGTGTCAGATGCTTTGTCAATGACAGACTCGGCCGCCCCGTGCAAGCTGAAACAGCCGCACGTACCCACCACGTGGACCAAGTCCAAGGAGGGAGAGAGCTTGCCCCTCTCCAGAAATTAGCTTCAGAACTGATGTTGATGGCCCAGCCAGTGTGACTCAGTGGTTGAGCATCAACCCATGAACCAGGAGGTCATGGTTCGATTCCCGGTCAGGGCACATGCCCAGGTGCAGGTCAGGGCCCATGCCTGGGTTGCCGGCTCCATCCCTAGTGGAGGGCGTGCAGGAGGCAGCTGATCAATGATTCTCTCTCATCATTGAGGTTTCTATCTCTCTCTCCCTCTCCCTTCCTCTCTGAAATCAATAACAATATATTTAAAGAAAAGAACTGATGCTGATGAACCTCCCTTTCTCTCCTTCCTGCCAGGGTCCTCCATGAGCCCTGCCTCCCACCCCCACCCTCAGAGGAAGCGGATTTAATGCCTCAACTGAGAGAATGAGAGGTTCTGTTATTTTTCATGGGAAATTAAACCTGACCCTGCTGTCAGCTGGCTCCTGCCCAGGGAGGATGGATGGCCGGGGCGGGCGTGGTGCTTAACCCCTGCTGGGATCACGCCGCCTGGCTGGGGGCCAGCTATGATGTCACCTGCTGCCGGCTGGGGGTGGGGAGGGCAGGATGGGTCAGAGAGCCTCATCTGGGTGATGGATGGCAGCGAGGCCACCCTGGTGGCACCGTGATGGTGCACCTCTGATGGGCCAGGCCCCGCTCGTCCAGGGAGACTCAGGCTGCCCCTCTCCCTTTCAGCTCCCAGCTCGACCTCGTGCCCCGCGGAGGAGAGCTGGTGGTCAGGGCTGGTGATCGTCATCGCGGTATGCTGTGCCTCCCTGCTGTTCCTCACTGTGCTGGTCATCATCTGCTACAAAGCCATCAAGCGGTGAGTGTCCACTGGCTTGGATCCCTGAGGGCACCCCAGCCGGGCTCGGGGGCTACTCCACCCACCCCCACTGTGGGTTTTTTCGTTATAAAAATTGTCAAGCATTTAAGAAGCAGAAAGAACGTGCCAGGAACGTGCATCTACCTTCACTCTGATTCAACAGTTACCGAGATTTGGCTAATATTTGCTGCATTGCTTTCCTTTTCCTTTTAGCTTTTTGTTTGCCGAAATATTTGAACGCTGATTGCACACCTCATACCCCCACCATTTTTAGGGAGTTCAGCTTGGAGGCATGTGATGAGCACCAATCATAAGTCAGGCCCCGTGCAATAGAAACGACCCTTCCTGAAATGGCAGGCCCTACCGTCGGGGCTCACCCAAAGCCTCGGAGAACGGAAATAATCCTCGCGGGGTCGGCAGGGGAGCCACTGATGGGAGGCACCATGCTGGTTTGGAGTGGGGACTGGGTTTTGGAGTCCGTTTTAAATTCAGGCTCTCGTTCAAGCTGTGTTACCAGGAGGAAATCACTTGACCTCTCTGGTCCTGAGTGTCCTTATCTGTAAAATAGGGGGAAAGAATAACAACCTCGTACTGTTCCGAGGAGTGGTGAGATGCCTGCTTAAATAGTATGCACCATGTGTGTCCCTGTTGTGCCTGGTATACAGTAAGTGCTCACAAAGTGCTGCACCAGCTTCCATGTGTCAGTCGTCTCAGAGAGAGGTGGGATGACAGGGAGGGAGAAATGCTTCTCTTGGGAGAAGAGGGAGGTTGAGATGCCTCAGAGAAAGTTTGCAGTGAATGGCACACCTAAGTCGGGTTTTGAAGGATGAATAGGAGTGTTCCAGTGGGGTCATGAAGGATCCAAACAGCAAACTATCTTCAGTAACACTCACTGTCATTTCTCTAACCACCATCTCATCCTGCCTTTCAGAAGAGGTTGGGTGGCACCTAGTTAGTTGGGGTTTGCTTCACAGTGTGGCTGTTGTTGAGGTCTGAGGAGGTTTGGGCTGTGTCCTGGGCTCTACGTGTGGCACAGTGGGCCATGGTGTGAATGGCGCCCCCTGGAGTTACAACACAGAAGTTCTGCCCTTGGTAAGACTGGGAAGTCTTATCAAACTTCCAAAGAATGGCCTCCCTAGCCTAGCACAGGGACCTTGCGGGGAAGACAGAATCAAAAGACCAAGAGAAATGTTTCAAAACACCAAAGGGCAATAGGGGTGGTCAATATACTTCCAAGAAAGTTCTTTTTTAAATGCCCTATGGCCCCAAGTTCGAGGAGCTACGTGAAGAGCAATTATAACACCTAAAATATTTAACTTTGCCCTTTTAATCAACGGTTCTATGTGATCTCACTTCAATAATTCAAAGCAGAAAGGGTAAAACATCAAGTTAAAGTCTTAAACAAATGCACAGTAAGGCACACAGGGTGAAGGGACACATCCAGCCAGCAGCCTGGGAGTTTGCTGGGGCCTGGGCCCAGGTGACACAGCTCCGCGAGGGGCAGGCCATGTCCAGGCACCTGCCTCCCAGCCAGACCCCCTTCTGTCCCCAACACTCACGCTGCAAGGCCCTCCCCCAAGTCGATAAATGGATAAATAACAAGGGCGTAACCTCAGCCAAGCACTGAGCTCATCGCTCCACCAACCGTCTCTCAGGTCGCCTCACTGCATCTTCTCCCGATCCGTCCCATTCCACAGAGGAGGAAGCCGAGGCTCAGAGGTGTGAGGGAACTGCCCAGGGAGGCACAGCCCGGGAGCAGAGGAGTCAGGATCTGCACCCAGCACCAGTGATTCCGAAGGCAGCCCTGACCGCAGCTCCCTGTCAGTGTTACTGTTGAGTCCCTCTCTGGTGTTGGGCTGAGAACAGACCTCGCTCTCCCTGCCTGCCCTTCCTCGAGGGTGCCTGGAAAAGGGGGTGATGGGGTGTGTCTGAAGCCAGAAAAACAGGTGGACACAAAGGCCCCAGGACCCTGTAATTCAGGGACAGACCAGGCCTCAGGAGTCAAGGTGGAGGTGTTGGAGTCTCCCAGGGCACGAGGTCAGCCCGATTCCCAGTGTCTGGTGGGCGCCTACTGTATGCACAGGCTGTGCAGGTACAGAGACAGACAGGACAGGCCTGTGCCCACGGGCGGCTCACCTGGCTGCAGGGCGGTGGGGGCGGGTGCAAGAATGGCTGTTGGGAGGCAGGTGGAATGGGCTGCAGGAAGTCCCTGGCAGCCTGCTGTGGGCCCGGAGGAGTCGGTTAGCTCTGATCAGGGTGATAGCACATTTGAGTTGAGAGCCTGCTGCCCTAGGATGAGGATTGTGAGAAGCAGATCAGGGGAGGCACTCCTGGCAGAGGCACCGTGTGAGCAGAAGCACCAGGCACCAGGCGCCAGGAAGCCCCTGTGACCCGGGGTGTGAGGCTGGAGGGCCAAGAGCTGGCAGGAAGGTGTTGGTCCCACCAGCTGGGCAGCTTGCCTGGGACTTGGTGGACTGGGAGCTACTGAAGGTTCTTGAGGAAGAGTGTGCAAGATCCCCCCGGGCACTGCCAGGGATTGGGGCCCTACCTCCATCAGGGACCCGTTCCCACTCCCCTGCCCTCCGGAGACAGGCAGCGGCACCTTTTTAAAAAGCCCAGCTCTTCCAGAGTCACTCCGAGTCACTGCCTCGCTGTCTGCCCCAAACTTCTGAGAAACGTGCTGCTTCGAGGGAAGAGGGTAAAGGGAATATCTGACTGGCCGTGCAGGCAGCAGCATGCAGGCTGGGCTTCAGCAGGGCTGGGGGTCTCCCAGGAAGGCCTGTGGGGCTGCCACCCGCCTCCCCCCAGAACAGCTGGAGAGGCCTCCTGTCACTCTGTCTTATTCCGCAGGCTCTGAGCTCTTGGTTCCAGGGTCTGTTAAAGGCCTGGAAAGACAAGGAACCCACCCCAGAAGGCTCAGTTGATCCCTTCCAGGGGCTTCCTCCAGATGAGGTGGGCGGGGTGTCCTCCAGATGAGGTGTGCGGGGCTTCCTCCAGAGTGTGGGCGGGGCTCGAAGATCCTTGGAGCAAAGGAAGCTGGTGAAGCGGCCAGACCAGCAGCAGTGGAGCGGTTAGCACAGCTAGGACAAGGGCCAGGGAAGGTGCCAGGGGAACAACAGAGCCCAAAACAGGAAAGGAGGGGGAGGAAATGCCCCGACCTTGCCCTGGCGCTCCGGTCTCCTGAGGGTGACTCCCATTGGCAAACCCAAGAGCAGGGGGTCCCAGGAGAGGCAGCCCTCAGCATCCAGGGGCACAGGTTGGATGGCGATGGTGCATGGAAGCATCACAGTCCCTTTTCGGCCCCAACACCGTGATCCGCATTCTCCTCTGGGCAAGACCTGGGGACATGGGAATAAGACCCAGCGCCCCCCCCCCTCCGCCCCCCACCCAAGACCCTCATCATCCAGAAGAGCTCCCAGAGCTACCCGCCCCCAGGCTCAGGAAGGAGGCCTTGCCTCCTTTGGCCACCCATGGCGCGGGTCCTTCACCTCCTGCCATCGATTGCCATTAAGCCACTTGACAGCCATTTCCTCCTGATTTACAAGGTGTTGGCCGAAAGAACAATAAAGGCTGCACAACACGGCTGATCCTGCAGACCGTTAATTGCAGACAATAAGCCAGCGTGCTGCTCCCTGGGAGTGAGCGAGCTCGGTGCGGGTGCGTGTGCCTGAGCGTGGCTGGGCACGCCCGTGATTGCAGGGCTCTGGTGCCCACCGGCTTCTCGTGGGTGAGCCACTTCCAGTAGAACGGGCACGTTTGAACGCCCAGGTCTCTTTGATGATATCTGGCACCATTGACCGCCCCAGGACTTCTCAGTGAGTCATTGCTGGTCCACAGGTATTTATTGAGGACCTACTGTGTGCTGGGGACTAGACGAGGTACCAAGATGTAGAGATAAATGAGACTGAGCCCCTTCCCACTCCCCACCACAGCCCAATGGAGAAAGCAGATTACACACACACACACACACACACGCACACACAAACACACACACGCACAAACACACACACGCACACCAGCATAGTAATAAATGAGGTTTTAAAAAACCATGAATACTATGAAGGGGAGGGGGGAACCTCAGAGTAATGGGGGAGAGGAAATGGGGGGTGGAAATAGGGTTGCTTGGCCCACCCAGCGTCAGGAGTGTGTGCATGCCTCTTGAGGGGGCTTTATGGTTAGAGAGAACGGTGAGGGCTTGTGCGCCCACTCCCACCTTTTAATTTAACAGGCCCTTCCGTGGGGGTGGGAGGCAGAAGCAAGCAAGCCGGGCAGCCCTCCCTTCCCAGGCTCCTCAGAGCTGTTCTTTGCTGCCAGCTTCCCCAGCAGAGCAGCAGGCTGAGGGTGGGACCTGTCACGTGGATGTCAGCAGGGCCCAAGAGGGGCTCCTGGGTCCTGCCCCCTCATCCCCCCCCCCCGCCCGGGTCCATGCTGGTGGAGGCAGCTTCTGCAGAGGCCCAGACCGCTGGCAGTTGGCGGCGGAGCTGTCAGCTCAGCACTCCAAGCAGACGACGACGTGGGGCGCTGCTGCTTTCCAGGCTGGGGCACAGGAACGTGGGAGAACCCGCCCTTTGACGTGAGGAGGCCAAGGAAAGCTCACTGCCCTTTCTCTTGGTTTAGGAGCCAGGCCGTGTAAGGGCCTGCACCAGGGCGGAGGAGCCCTTCTCTGGTTTGTGGGGAGCAGCCCTGGCTGGCACCCAGCACCGCGGAGCCGGGCTGGGTCTAGCAAGTCTCAGGCACCTGTGGAGCCCCACGGGGCACACCTTAGGTAGGAAGGCTGTGCAGACAGGAGACCGCTGGCTGCTCCCCACCAACAGGAGCAGCGATGCTGACACCTTCCCAGCTAACACACACTTATGGAGACCTACTGTGTGCCAGCGGCTCCTCTCAGAGCTTAACACACATTAACGTGGTAATCCTCCCAACAAGCCTATGAAGCGGACACCGTCATTGTGCCCATTTTATAGACCAGGAAACTGAGGCATAAAGAGGTTCAGTGACTTGCCCATGGAAGGACACATGGGGGTTTGGAGGCAGAGCCTCCTCCTGCTATAGGAACAACTCCAGCGTCCACTGGGCTCCAGGGCGTCCCAGAAAGCCTCCGGGAGGGGGTGGGGCAGAGCGGGGAGCAGAGTGGTCATAGCTGAGCTCCCATGGAGGAGGGAGCAGACCCAGCCCACTTCTCCGAGGGGCCTGGGCAGCCGCTCTCTCCTTCACATGCTCAGGCTCCAGGATGCCCCTGGGGTGGGGGGTGGCGGGGGGAGCTGCACCTGCCAGAGGTGCCCTTTTTGCTGGGTGGAGCCCCTGCCCAGACCCCCTTTGTCCTTTCTGGCCTGGGGAGCTGGCTGAGCCATTGAGAAGGGCCTGGGGCTGCCCCCTTGGCCTGTTCCCCGTGTCCCTGCTGCCAAGCTGGCCCCCCACCAGGCCCTCTGAGCCACCGGGGGTGCACAGGGTGTCCGGGCCACAGCCCCTCTTCTCCCGGCAGAATAATTCTGCTGACTTCCCACCTCCTCTAAGGAGGGTGGGAACTCTGGGTCCAAGGCTTTGCCACGTGCAAGGGATTCCAGACCCTCTTCCTCTCCCCATCCCCTCTCCAAGGCCTGAAGCTTTATCTCCCCTGGGGGACTCGCTGCAGACTCCTCAGCCCAAGACTGAGTATTTGTCAGGGAGAACAGCAGTGCGGGTTGGGCCCAGAGATGTTTGCTAGAATCCTGACTCTGATGTCCGTCGTCCCTCGCTATACTGATGATACGTTTAGGGATCTCCCTCAAGTGGCCTCGCAGCGGGGCGACACGGGAGCTCCCTGTAGGAACATGGACCCCCGCCCCGCTTCCAGACCGTGCCAACTCGCCGAGCTGCAAACCCAGCCCACCCGCCAAGCCGGCCTGCGTGAGGCCTCGGAAAGGCGGGTGGGATGGAGGAGGGAGGAAGGGACAGAGGTTCGCTCGGACTCTGTCATTTCCATGAGCCCATCGCCTAAAAGGCACCTCTTCTGAGCCCTACCAGCTGGGGTTCCAGAAAACGTCTGTGAGCATCTACCCACGTAAATGGGGGTTCTCAGACCCCAGGACATGGGATGTGCTCTAGGGTAAAGCAATATGAGCCGGGCTCCTTGGAGGCCTCTGAGGACTTCTGGAACCTCCTGGAACCTCCAGGAGGAGCCCGCCCACGCTGATTGGACACAGGGACACAGAGCCGGGGGCGGGGGGCGGGAGGGACACCTGCTGGGAATGCTGGTTTAACAGAAACACGGCTGGACCAGGACTTGGCAGTAGTGGGTGGTGGTCCGGGTCCACCATAAACCAGCCATGGGACCTTGGGCAAGTCACAGCTCTCCCTAAGCCTCAGTTTCCCCATGAAGTGAAACGAAACTCCAGGCCTTGCTTCTTCCGGGATCACTGTGGGAAGGGACAAGGAAAGCTGTGGCTGAGAGCGCTGTGAACAAAGCGTGGCCACGTGGGAGGAGTGTCGGCCAGCACCTCACTTTCTCGAGGAAGCCACGGTGGCTGGGCCCGGTGCCCAGCTGAGTGCACTTGGGTTTCTGAGTGTTTTGTGAGCTGATTCCGCTGCAGGAGAAAAGGAAGTTGACAGATTTGACCCCAGGGAGCCCTCTGAGCAGGCCTGCTAACCCCGCCCGCCATAGCCACCTCCCAGATCCCGTGGGGCTTTAGGCATCACCTAGTCCCCAAGTGTGCGCCCTCCTCAGGCGAGGTGTGGGGAGGCTCGGGGACACTGGAGAAGGCGATGCCGTCGTGCCCTGGCTTTCAGTGATGCCCGTAAACATTCGGTTCAGACAACTCACAGCGGAGGCCATTCAGGCTTGGCCCCGGCGTTACTGGGGACACAGGTGTCAGAGCTACATCCCCACGGGCTGCAGATCCACCCAAGAGGCAGCCGTGTGGCGTGGGATGGGGCTGCCCAGCACGGAGGGGGGAGCGGGGGGGGCCTAGATCAGGAGCTGTAGCCACTCAGGCCTGGGACTGGGGCAGCCCCTCCTGAGCCGCTCAAGAGAGGAGAGGAGACTTGAATTACTAGAAGGTACTACTATGAGTCCAGAACCTCAGCCCAGAGCCTTCTCAGAGTCCCCCCGCCTCCCCACACCTCCACCCCCCTGTCCCCCCACCACCCCCACCCCCGCCAAAGCCCAGCAGTCCAAGGACGCTAACCCAGCACAGCCTGGCGGGCCAACTGTGGGGCATGCTAACTCCCAGGCATTGATAACTAACGATGTCCCTCCTCCTCCCTCGATGCCCCTGCCCCTCCGCCCGCTCCCAGGAAACCCCTGAGAAAGGAGGAGAATGGCACCAGTGTTGCGGAGTACCCCATGACGTCCTCGCAGAGCAACAAGGGCGTGGACGTGAACAACGCCGTGGTGTGAGTGCGGCCTGGACCGCTGGCCCGAGGGCACCTTGGTGGCACTAGTGGACAGGAGCTGACACTGCGCTTGTCCAGGACGTCATTGCCTTGCCCGCCTCGAGCCTCGCAAAGGAGAAAGCATTCTCTTCCAGCCATGCCCCGGAGCAGGGGCCGCGCAGCCCTGCGCCAGCCGGCTGCCTGCATGC